GGGGGGGGTTGCTGTGTGGGGGGGGGCCTTACAAAATTTTGCTATGGGGCACTGGGATTTCTAGTTACGCCACTGGATGCACCGATATATCGGCGGCCGAAACATATCAGCCAAAAATGGCACTTTTGGCTAAATGCCGAAAGTGCAATTTTCTGGCCGATATAGTGGTGCATCTCTGGTTTCTCTCCTCCCCGCTGGGCGCTGCTCTGCGTCCCAGCGGGGAGGAGAGAAACTGTCACAGGCTGAGCGGTGCTGGAGGAGAGCGCTATGAGCGGCCGGCTACTCTCGTCCCTCACCGCTCAGCCTCTTGTGACGATCGGGAGAGCAGTGTGGGCGGAGACAGCTTGCAGTGCTGTCACATGAGACTGAGCTCTCCTCCCGCACCGCCTCGCCCAGCCTCCTGTGACAACGTGTCAGGAAAGAGATCGGTACAAACACTCAGCGATCAGTGATTGCTGAGTGTTTGTAAATAATTGAGGACATAGTATGTTTACTATATCCTCAATTATGAACGTATGGGAAGTGATCTACATAATCTCCTGTTCATTCATGATTGTGGATATAGTAAACATACTCTGTCCACATGGTATGAATGAACAGGAACACTCAGTATAGAGGATTCCTGTTCATTTATAACAGGGGCTGCAGAAAAAGAGATTGAGGACTCTGTTTAGACTCCTAATATGTCCCCAAAGCCCCTAAAAGTATAGTAAAAAATAACAAATATTTAATAAAAATACATAAATAAAAATAAAATGTAAAAAAAAAAAAGTTTATAAAAATAAATATTTTTTAAAATGTGAAAAAGTTAGAATAAAAAACATTTTCGGGTTTCGGCCTGACATATTTTTGTCATTTCATCTTCGTTTCGGTTTTGAAATGTTTGTTTCGGTGCACCTCTAGTATTAATGATAATATTGCTTTGGACAGTTAAAGACATCACTTAAATTCCGGCCATCATCAAGTTTCTCCCTGATTCTGGTCTATCAGATGCAGTCATCTAGCTAATTATTCCTTGGAAACTAATCAGTATGTATGATTTCTAATTGCAGACAGAGTAGCATGACTCCTGCTTGTGACGGGACCAGCTGGTCTTAGTTCATCTTTTAACCTTTTACATAATTGAAAGCTTGCTGAAATAATTAAACTGCATTGACAAAATGTAATGTTGGAGTTTTTATTCATGGCCTATTTATGTTTTTCATAGACTTCCTCGAGTCAGATGATATCTTTATGTGTGTTAACTCCACATTAATTTCCAGCCCAGATGGACTTTTTCCAGCATATTGGAATGTTTTATGATACACACCTTCACTGGTTGCTTGATGCACTATTGCAAGTTGAGATGAAGGCTTTATCGTCTCTGTATTGCAGCTGTGTACCAAATTCTCAGCCTTTGTTTGAGATGACAGTCATCTGGAGTTGCTGAAACAAGTCTTTTTACTATGCAAGCATCTGATGGTGAATGTGATGATTACATTTTGAATGTATAGGGCTGTCATGAAGGAAAACTTCAAGCTAGCATGTGTAATCTGCTGCATCTATACAGTGCTGGGTGATCTTCTGGATAACTGCCAAATATCAGACCTTTGGCTGTATAAAATGGCTGACTGTTCGTACATGTATTGCAGAAACTGGTTTATGTAATTAGGCAGATATTTTTGTGCAACGCAACTTAATAGCCTGATGGGAAATCATTTAATTGCAATATAGTTTGATTTAATTACAACATTATTTTTTTTTGTGTTGCATTGATCTAATCCAGCTTTTCAATTAGTTGTTTCAGTGATTGCTTAGTAATAATTACATTTGGTTTGCCTTTGTCCATGCTCCCAGTCAAAGCTATTTGATAAAATAAAATAACAAGCTATATTGTATAGGTAGAATACAGTAGATCTGTGGTTGCTTTAGTGGCTCAACAGGTTGGATTAGTTATAGCTGTATTGTTCGTTGAAGAGATTTCTGTTTGCCATAAGCAGATCATTCATATCAACAGAATATCTTTCGGGAGGCCGAGAGTGAAGACACTCCAGACAGCTAGCAGACATGGATTTTCAGTCAGATAACTCACTAACAATATCTAATGAATTGGTGTCCTTTCTAAACAAATTGGTAATATGGTCCTGTTTTCACAAACTGTATAGCTAATGTGTACATGTTTAACTCTACAAATGTTACATATTATTACCATTATTTTTCCTAATAGACAGTTGATAGACCAAAAGACTGGTACAAGACCATGTTCAAGCAGATCCATATGGTCCACAAGCCAGGTATGTGTGTTCTTAATATTTTGATTGTTTGGTGAATATGAGGCTTCTCTGTTCTGTGGTTGTAATTTAATATGGCAACGGACTGTAGCACTACATAATATATATTACAAGTGTTTTTCATACCCCCTCAAAATATTTTTGGTCTAGAAAATTTTATTTTTTTACATGTGCCGAAACTGTGATGAAACTGTAGTTAATGTTAAGGTGCTTGTTAAACTTACACATAATTATGTTCTTGAAACAGTTTTATATATCATTTGGAATAATGCTTGTTCTACTACCCTTGTGTACTGAAAGGGGAGGGACAAATTAACATTGTACTGATGATCCCAGGGGTGGACAAAATAATGAAAAGTCATAGTAATGTATTAATATCAAAAACCTAATTAGGACTCTGACAACCATTTACCTGCAGAACAGCTTAGACACTCCCCAAATTGCTGTCATACAAGTCTGAACTGAATCTAGCAGGATATTGCATCGTTTGTTAAGTTAGAACATCTTTAAGGGATAAGGGAGATTAAAAACTGCTTTAAAATCTGCCATTTTGACTTCCTAAGGTTCAGTGATGTTTGCTTTTCACTTCATGGTTAGGGAACGCCATGAAAGGCATCCTACTATTCATGAAAGTGCTCTATTTATTTAGCATTGAATATGGGGACATTATCACCTTGGAATATGGAAACAGTGTTTGTACCATAGGGTTCATCTGGTCACATAAAGTGCTCTCATGTTTCTTAGATGTTATAATACTATTATGTGCAACCATTGGACCTAATTACTCTCAGGGCATAGTTACCAATACCTATACAGAACCCCTATCATGTTTACCATATGGTTACAAAGATTCACAAACACTGACCAAGGGCAGATTTTTGGAATTTTGATAGATTTCCACTCACTTCTTGTTGTATCTCCTAGGACAAATAGAAGCCTTCCCAACTCTGGATATAGACAGAAAAAAAACCAGGCGGTTTTTAACCATCCCCTTCTCTGTGCAAAAGAAGGATTAGCTTTACATACACTATAAATAACTAGTAAAAGTATTTTTTGCCTGACACATTTGCAATTTGGATACAGACTTTTTGGCCACTTAAGAACTCTGCTAGTTGTCTTGTGTTGTTTTGAATAGACTTCCTTTTTTATAGACGCATACTTAAATATTATTATGATTCAGACTTAAACTCCTTTTTGAATTGGTATTTCAGGTATTTTGGCCACATCCAGTATTGTAGAACGCTTGTTTCTATTATGGTTGTCTGTAGAGTATAACTAGCCTATTACATGAAGATTAGTAAAGGACATCTATGATCTCTAGCTGATAAATAAGTGTCCTCTGTGTAGTAACATGGATTACTCCCTGTGTCCTGCATACTAGACATGTGCATTTCGTTCCGAATCGAAATTCGGACGCATTTTGGGAAATTCTGAGATTTGGATGCATCCAAATTCTGAATTACAGCTAAAACGAATTAAATCGAAATTCGGATGCATCCGAATTCCGAATTACAGCTAAAACGAATGTAAACGAATCCGAATTACCAATTTCCCGAAATTTGTTAGCGGTAGTCCAGTCGAAATTTCGTTTATTGGACGAAATTTCGTTAGCAGCAAAGTGACATACCAATTCATACCAGACCCTTTAGGTCTGGTAGGAATTTTAAGGGGGAACCCCAGCCCCCCAAAATGGGGAAAAAATGTGGGGTCCCCCCTAACAGTCCTACCAGACCCTTGG